AAGACGAAGCAATCCGCCGAGACGCTCTTCTGTCCGACGCTGCGGTTTCTTGATCCGGCGTCTCGAATCGGGCTTCGTGAAGCAGCAATAGAATTTTTTTTTTTTTGTTTTGTTTTGTTTTCTCCGTTAAATGCCTAGTCTCTTTTATTCTTGTTTGGTTTGTGAAAAAAAATATTGTTGTTTGAGCGTTTTCTTGTGAATACATCAATTTAATACATCCTGTGTTGTTTTGAATCACTATCCTTCTTTTATTTTGCTATCACAGTGTTTCGTTTGGCCTGCTACGAGAAGGAAATAAAAACTGGTCAAAATCCGACATATAATGATGTTCAGTAATAAAAAAAAATCACCCTAGTATGTAGAAAATATACTAAATAGCTGACTGGTCGAGGGACCAAATTCTGCTTAACATTATCTATTTTCGCATTTTCTTTTCAATAAATGGTTTGTATAATGTTATATGTCAAATGACCTACTTACGAAAACCGTAAGCTGTCTTGTTTATTAGACAGTTCACTTTCGTTGTTTACAGTTAAATATAAACCGGAAGACATTGCAGTAATCAGATTGACAGTCAGAAACATGTATTTATATACATATGTATGTATGTTTGTATGCGCGCGCGCGCACACACACACATATGATACAATACAACAGAAATAGAAATAATTACAAGTGTATTCAAATACTAAACATTACATCAAATATCGGTATAACGAACTACAACTGAACTTTTGCTCCCAAAGATCCGAAAACGGAAAATTATATCCGGTAAAATAAATGCAGAGTAAAGCCCCTAAATGAATTTGGGCCACAATATCACGCCCGTTTACATTTTGGCCCAGGATTTCCTAACTCGAGGCACATGCACCCAAGTGGAGTACATTTACATTGATCAGTTGGTACAAATGCCTCAATGAATAGCAATATGTGATCTGATAAGCCTATATAGGAAATTGTTACTCCTATAGTATATCGGCTCTGGGTCAACCTTTAAGTTGAATTTAACTTTTGTTTATTACTTTCCTAAATCTGTCTTTACTACTAATAATGGACAATTCATCCTTTTACTATTGGTATGAAAGTATCCATGTATACCAATCTGGCATGGGGGCATGTGTTCGGTACAAGTAAACAAACCAGACTGATAAATTCATACATTGCACTCGTGTAAGAGCTTTTGTCAAACTCAGACCGTTTCCATAACGTATAACAATAAACCCAAAGTCGTGTGACACAAGAGCTACCCTGGTGTCCGGGGCCATTAATCTCGCTCGACATTGTTGTTTCTGAGTTCTATAGAGTAAAATATAGAGTAAATATATGTTTTTTTTTCAGAATCTTATTGCCTTGCCTGCACCTTCAGTGTTTTGATCTTGCAGGTCACACGAAACTAGAGTAGGCGTAGTCAGCACCCCACCTCAGACCCGCAGTACTCTTCTACCTCATGGCAGACCTGATGGGTTTTGACGGAAAACTGCCCTTTTCTTTTAGCTATTGGTATTAGCTTGATACCAAAAGTTAAGAGTTTTTGATCCCTTCAGGACTACGGTCTTGGGCCAAGTGTTTGGACTTGGTCCAAAACCCGTGGCCACTCTACTATAAACTCGACTCTGAACAATGGAACCCTCACTAAAGACAGATCTAGAAGACCTCTTTACAAATTCCTACTAAGAATGCAAGACACAAATGTTAAATGCATGAATGAAAATTAATCACTTTTGAACATGAATCCCTTTATTTTCGAAAAAGTCTTAATGGTCAAGTGGACGGTGATTTTGATTTTGTCAGGAAATTGTGAGATGGAAGTCTTATTTAAAGATTTACTTAAGCTGACGTGATCTCAGAGTTAAAGTTACTATTCCTATCGGCCCAAATACTTGCAAGTAATCTTTCATAGGGATTTGAGGACGATGGAAGAAAGTTATATTCTGGAGAGCATGAAGGACCAAAATGTATTGGACGTTAATTGTATAACTAAGGAGGATGGGAATGTGCGAACAGAAACTGGACTGTGTTCTCTTTATTTTTGTTTTATATAAAATTCCTGGGAATGTTGGATATGAACGTGTCCAAGTAAAGTGACTTTACATCCAAAAGCCAAAACATGGCATTAGATACCAAAAAAATCGAAGAGACATCATAAAGATGTACTGAAAAAGGCTCAAATCAGTTCATTTGCTGTAAATGTGCTGGAGCTCACGGCACCATTACATGTTCTAATAAAATTTTCACATGTGCCAATTATGGAGGTCCCCATCAGTCAGGCTCTGCTGAGTGCAAACAGCCTGAAGAAGGAGACTGAGACATTAGCATATATGAAAAAAACATGAAGTTAGTTGTACTGAAGCCAGGAGGAAATTGGAAGAAATGTTTGTCAACAGATTGCAGCTAAAGATAAATAAATTGCTGAACTTAGAATGTCAAAGACCTGATTATTTAAACATATCAACTGACTAAAATGGTCGACCAAATGGCTGCAATAACTCAGCATAAACATCCTAAGGAGGCTGATACTGAATCACAATCCGTATTGCACCTTCTCATCCAGGCGACTCCTATGGGGACATCATCTGGCCCTCAATCGTCTTCTCAAGAGAGAAGCAGGTCGCAATCTGCCAGTTATCCTTCCTCGCCAGGAGGTGCAGGACATGGAGGCTTCTGTCTCCAAACCATCCCGAGAGAGGTCCCCAGGAAGCGAAGGAGAGGAGGCGCTTCCCTCCCATAAAAAGAAAATTAAAACTGGCGGACAAGGCACTTCTAAAACGTAATCTTCGCGTCTACCATTATACAATAGAACTGACGAATTCTTAGAGCTAGATTAAATGCTCTTAAATCATTATCATCATCCTCCCGATATTACAGTTCTCCAAGATACGCATTTAACACACCTTGTCTCAGATGAGGTCGTTTCGCTTAGGAACTACCATTTATGTTGGAAGGACCATGACGGTGCGGGTGGAGGTGGAATCTTTAGCATTCCTTTTACAGAAGTGACTTTTAATTCTACATGGGAGTTTGTTGCACGCAAAGTAAAAATCAATGGCACAGTTCTGACTACATGTTCAGTTTATTGTCCACCTGATAATGTGGTAATCTATGAGCTCTAAGCTCTTCAGGATAGTCTGCCACAAAATAAATTACGTTATGGGGGTCCCCGTGGACGGATGTTAGAGGTGAGCAAGCAGTTAACTCAATTATCGATTCTGATTTGGTTCTTCTGATTGATAGTAATCATACATGGGTAACATATCTCAGATCTGTTCAACAAAAGCAGCCTAGTGTCTGTGGCACACCAATGACGACTCGTTGGGAAGTGATCACTTTCGTATTTTTATTAAATATTGATGCAACACAACAAGAACGCCTTCAGCATCTAAATTTACGTAAAAAATAACAGACTGGATCGCCTCGCAAGGAGCGTCATGAAACCATTCATGACGAAGTGAGCAATATTCAGAATACTATTGATAAGCAGCAATGTATGGACACTAGATTGCCGGAGGGTGCTGTGCGAACGCAATAGGGCCTACTACAAACTTTCGGTTGTACTAATAAAACGCTGGTGCGGGCCCCGCATTTCAGTCCCCAGGGAAAGGAGTGGGGAGCCCCGCCTTGCAAATTAAACTGCTCGGGCAAGCCCTTTCCCTGATGACTTCTGCGGGGACAGGTTGGTACCCCTGATGCATCCCGCCCGCCGCATTTGGTACACTTAATGCTCTTAATTATGATTTACTGCCAAATTCATTTTTTTTTTTTTTTGGCTGGGGGATAGTGTAAAATCTGACTATCGGAATGCCAACCGTCATTTACAAAGGCCATATTCACAATCGTTCTCAAAATCTTTGATCGTTGGGGTAAGTTCAGGGTTATTAACATGAGCAAATACTGTATTTCATTATTAATAAGTCAGCCAGGTTTGCATATTACTTACTTTCAGACTTCTTTCATTCTCTCCTGCCTCGGTGTATTAATGCACCTAACCTTAATCTAACTGAATGATGATATGTTACATAAAGGCTAGATATATGTCGAAATTCCACCGCCGGCAGATGATAACAAACTTGGAACCTTTCAGAAACACTCCCCCCCATATATATATATAAATATATATATATATATATATATATATATATATATATATATATATATATATTTATATAGACTAATAGAAATATGTATTTATATGTATATATTGTATATATACGTGTATTTATAGGCCTAGATATTAAAGGAATGCACGCCCAATCATCGAAACTGCGTTTATTGAATGTTTTGTTCATTTAAATTATCATTCATAACACTAGCATTGATATATTTACGTTACTGCACTCTAACGATTGTTGTGCATTAACGTGCGTATATCGAATCTTATCTAATAGTTAAAAATTAAGATAACAAAACATGTAATAAATGTAATTTCAGGTCTTTGGTCCGAGGATATGTTTGGACGCACATTCACTGATATATGGATATGCATGTATGTTCAGAGCAAGAGAGTTCTAAGTATATATATGGGGATGAGCAAATAAAATTTATTGATTATTGTAATTTCTGAAATCTGTAATAATACATCGCAAAAATTATGGGGAAACTTTCAGGCGGTACAGACCTCCCAAAATGTTGTAATATTAGTCTTTAAAAACTATATTTTTTACGTTATGTAGTAAAATAAGAGCCATACACCATATCTTAAATAGCATTCAAAGATGATTTTGATATAACGCATCCAATAAAGTATATTCTAAATGATCCTTTTGCAGGGCTTGATGCGAGATGCTCCTAGCTGTCCCGTGGATCGAGGAACACCCGCAAAACTTTAATAACTTTAATAACTTAACTTTAATAATATGGAAAAGTGAGGGGGAGCTGGTCCTGGGGAGATCCCGCCCCTCGAGGACGTTTAATAATACAGCCGTTTGTCTCTACAATATAAAGCAAGCACCAATATCACAGGTTTGGTCCACTATTGGTAAAATAAATAAGTAAAAATCTTGCAA